TAAGAAAACTCAATTTTCTTTTAGTTTTCTATGGAAATAATAACAAGTATATAGGTAGTACTTGTCCTTAGATAATAACTAGTCTGGCTAGTCGGACATGCGGTGCATTTTGTCAACCATAAGGGATAAATAGTTGTTGCTGGCTCCTATTAATCAAAGAAGGAGTATCAAAATTCATTTCTTGGGGCTGCTGAGAAATAAATATTAACTGATTCACGAGGGAATTAAAGCTACAACATTCCAAAACTAGTACTGAGGAATTCTCACACCAATGTGCTCAGCCATCACCTCTTCAGACATATTAGTAAACTATGGAAGAACAGCAATTGAATATCAAAATATTTGAGATATGATAACAACAACATTACTAGGAATAACAACCTCACTATAAAGAATGTGATCCTAAATGTCGTCAAGTAGTGGAGAATAAAATAGTTTAAGTTCCAATTACGAAGAATCCCAAAATGAAAAAAAATAATAATAAAAAAATACACATAATTATACAGATCTGATAAATATTTCTATTTTAAATCTATTTAAAGGAAAAAGGATATTTCTCTATCTACTATATTCTCAATAGTTTATTCAAAGAAAATTAAGAAACAAACTCTTCTGTAAGACACCTGAATCCAAATTTGGTTATTCTATATAACTAGTTGACCTGTGCGAATAATTCACAGAAAATTTTGTTTAGTGAAGAAATACAAAGCAATATGGAAATAAGTAAATCCTATGTATTATGCAAGGAATTAATATTTTTTCCTTGGTCGATTACAATATTCCATTTAAGATAATAGACCAAAACATTTGTAGAAATTGCTTTGCTAGGACCTATTTTTAAACAATGACTGGAAAGATAATAAAGACAAAATATAGCCCCGATCATGGGATTTTCTATATTATTAAAAAAAGATAAAATGTATGAACAAACAAATGCCTTTAAGAAATAATAAAGTTAATATACCAGCCAGGAAAAAAGTGTAGTAGAATAGTAAATACAATATCTTTGAAGAGAAAGAAATTATTAAGTAAACCAAAACAAATGGACTGTATCTTTGTTAATAATTGTCTGATTTTTGTTTTGCAGGTAATTTAGTGATCTTTCTAATTATCAAGGGCACAATTGAAAAAAAAAATTCATACTATTAGAGTTACCCTCGAATAAAGTTTCTTTTCCTTCATAACTTTTTTTCCAGACATTTCGGAAGGATTGGACTATTTTTCGCATATGAAGGAGAAGAATATCTTCAAAATGAGTGGTCAATCATTGGATTTGATGAATAATTGACGAAGTTATGGCGTATCAACAAAAAAACACCTTTTAGAAATAATATATAGAATAGAAGAGCTGTGCTGAGATAGTCGTGGCTACGAGTTCACTTGTCATCATGATGTTTCTGCCTGGCGTTAACTAAACATTCACAAATCCTCAGAATTTTATGCTAATTCAATATTTCAACAACTGTCGGAAAGCTGAATTATCGCTCGCTCTTCAAGACCGTATAAATAACTTTTTGATTTAATACGTCTATAAAGAGTAAATAAATAAAAACTCCTAACTGGTTTTTATTTTATAACTTGAGTTGTAAATTACTTAGGAGAGTACAGTTTGTGTCATTTCGTGTAGTTTGTAAGTTCCCTTATACCTGCAAAATTTCATGTGAATAGGCAGAAGCATATTGAAGTTATCACTTTTAGTGATTTTTGAAAAAAATAATCAAAGAGGGGTGGGGATGGCCCTAGGTCAAATTTGTAGAATAAATTTTTTTTTTGGTTGCAATGAAAATTCGTATTTGAGGGTCATTCGATATTCACTCTGTTTCTCCTTTAAAAAATATTTCAAAAGACTTTACACTCCTTCAGTCAGTACAAATTGTTTAAATTTTACAAATTTCTAATCTATTTTTACGATTTTTTTTTTTTTGTAGATAATTTAGATATATTTCTTATTATCATGGGTACAATCAATAAAAAAAATGCATACTTTTTGAGTTATTCACGAATAATGTTTCTTTTCCTTCATAACTTTTTTTCCAGAAGGGAGGATTGGACTATTTTTCGCAAGTGAAGGAAAAGAATATCTTCAAATTGAGTGGCCAATCATCGGATTTGATGAATAATTGGCAAAGTTATGGTGTACCGACAAAAAATCACCTTTTACAAATAATATATAGGATTTTCTCTACCTCGGAGAGTAGACTATCTACTGATACACTGAATGGTCTCTATCTGTTTTCTCATATCAAAAAAACAACTTGGTTGTTTCACAAGCTAGGCCAAAAAGACACATGAAAAAAGAATTAAGAAATTATGCTTGAAATAGAAAGACTTAATTTTTTAAAAATCAAATGGATTAAAATAAATTAAACAAAAGGATCCCAGAAAAGTAAAGAGAAAGAAAATAAGATGAACACAATAATTAATATGTTTGTAATGTGTGGCATGCAAAGAACGTAAGAGGCAGGGTAGTCAATGCCTCGCCAATTTCAGAAATTATCAGGAAAGAAAAAACCCAAGATCACTTCACTCCATAACATCCAAACGGCTATTCTATAATAATAAGTAATTAATAAAGGAAGACAAGTTAATCAGTGAGATCTAGACAAATTCTCGTATTAAGCAGAGTTCCCTTTTAACATGCAACATTTATATCAGAATTTTCTTATTTTTTTCTGTCTCAAAAATCAGAGTGATGAAATTTAATCGATTTTTGTGAAAAAGTATTAGTGGCAAAAAACTTATTTTCTTTAGTTATCAAAAGTGTAAACAATGAAGATAAAATACCATCTTTATTTGGATAAGTTTATCCAATAATTTGATTTTGAAATATAAGGGCACAGAATAATTACAATGTTAAGTTTGTAATGACCTAATGTTTGGGATAACTTACTGTTTACAAATATCAATTATTTATTAATACAGAAATAAGTGCTGTTTAATTATTTAAAACAGCTAAGTTCTCAAATTACTCTATAATACCCTCATACCTAATGGAAAACGGCACTTTCTACTTCTAACGAAGAGAAATATCAAATAGAACACTCATACACCTTTGGATACAAAAGTCATAAAGAAAACTGATACACTTCAAAAAATTGTTGAATGGTTCTTCTTGAATGATCATGCAGTAATTCATTTACAAATTTAAAAACATTAGAAAAGGTATAATTATCATAACCTACTAATTTATATTGAAAAAAATTTACTTACATTTTCATCTTCCTGAACTAATTTCGATTCATTAGTCAAACAATGTTTGATTAAATGAATAACATTTGAAGATATTGTAGAATGAGGTGTTTCGATTTCTGTCTGCATATTAGAAACATTATGTTCTTTTTCCCAACAATTACCTAGGATCTATTTTTTTGTTTTGGTGAGTTTTTAATTGTTTATATTAATAATTTCAAGTTAAATAATTATAATTCATAAATTTTGAACAATTTTTAATACAAAATATTTTACATGCCAAACAAAACAAAATACACTACTGATAGGCAAAAAAATCAAGTTAGTGGAATTTTTTGCCTATCAGTAGGCAAAAATTCCACTCACTTGATTTTTTCATGTTTTCATCCAAAAATATTTTTACCCACTTGTAAAAGTTGTATTTGTTTATAATACATGGTATTTGTAGATAATACTTAGTATTTATGGAATTTTATAATCTTTTTACCTTTAATAATCAAAATTTGATTGGGTAAGAAAGATTAGAGAAAAAAAAAATTAAAAAACGAACCATTATTATTCTAAAAAAAATTAATTACATCATCGTTTAGTAGAGCTTGTTTCCTCCTCTCGCCTTCACTACTTCTTGAAGACGCTTCGGCATACTTCATACCCCAGTCGGGAAATGCCCCTTTGCTGGAGGATAGCCCATTCCTCCCGAAGAGCCCTTTCAAGGTCCTGCAGTATATCAGGACGTTGCACGCGCTCTTATTCGTCTTCCGAGGTTATCCCATAAATGCTCAATGGGGTTCAAATCTGTAGAACGTACTGGCCAGGCTAAAACCTCAATATTGTTCTGTTGAAGGAACGTCTGCACTATTCGGGCGTGCATTAGGATAGAACGATCACCGATTTCGTTGAGGATAGGCAACACTACAGATTTGAACCCCATTGAGCATTTATGGGATAACCTCGGAAGACGAATAAGAGCGCGTGCAACGTCCTGATACACTGCAGGACCTTGAAAGGGCTCTTCGGGAGGAATGGGCTATTCTCCAGCAAAAAGACATTTTCCGACTGGTGGAAAGTATGCCGAGGCGTCTTCAAGAAGTAGTGAAGGCAAGAAGAGGAAACACGCGCTACTAAACGATGATGTAATTAATTTCTTTTAGAGTGATAATGATTCGTTTTTCAATTTTTTTTTTCTCTAGTCTTTCTTACCCAATCACATTTTGATTATTAAAGGTAAAAAAAATATTACAAAATTCCATAAATACTAAGTATTATCTACAAACCATGTATTATAAACAAATACAACTTTTACAAGTGGGTAAAAATATTTTTAGATGAAAAAATATTTTTAGACGAAAACATGAAAAAATCAAGTGGGTGGAATTTTTTGCCTGTCAGTGTATATACCTACTTTCTTTACATAAACGTATTAGATATGAAATCTGAGGTGGGGAGATTGATTAATAAGAACATAAATGAATTATCACAAAGCGAAAAATAGAAAAAGTATTATTACCTATAATTAATATTATATGAAGAGTTGGTCAGGTGGAAGGGGAGGAGGGGAGAGGGTGTGCGGTCAAATAAATACTTATTATTATATAATTTACTAAATACTTACTTTACCTTAATACTTTTTAATAAATATTTATTTCACCTCCCCCCTCCCCCCTCCCGGCCAACTCCTCATATTACATCACGGTCAACCATCCCTACGTCATTATGAATTAATATTTTAGTATAATATTATATAGTAAAATTAATATAATATTATGCATAGCACATAATCTAATAATTAATATTGAAAAACATTTACTTACATTTTCAGCTTGCTGAACTAATTTCAATTCAGTAGTCAAGCAATGTTTGATTATATGAATAAGATTCAAAGGGTTTGTAGAGTAGCGTTTCTAAAACAAAAGTATAAAATTTTAACAAAACACTGTTCGAATTATTTATTTAATGATATACTATGAAGTTGAAACTCACTTGCAGATTACTGGCTGCATCAATAAGTTTGATTTTGGTAATGAAATGCTCTTCAGAAGCCAAACTGTTCGCTCTAGCTTGAAGCTCTTGAACGAGCATGGTAAGCAAACTTGCAGCATATTGTTCATGTGCTGGATTTTCTGGATCTAACTCGGTCCTACAAAAGCAAACTAGTATTAATAATATTAAACAAAAATACATATTTCAGCACTATAATTGACCAAATATAACTAGCTAATTAAAAACCATTAGTTCTGAATTAATGAGGTATGAAAACAGATTAAATAATTTGTATAATCATACATCATGTTATAAAAAGATATGGCAGAGCCATTATTGACGCCATATTAATTCTACTTAAGTTTTTCACCATTATAGTGAAAAACAAAACAAAAGGAACGTCTCAGGATCCCAATAATGAACCTTATTAAGTTATTCATAATTCTTGTATCAATGAGATTAGAAAGAAAGATATCAAATCTCAATATTAGAGGAATTGGCAAGAATTAAGCTAGAGATAATAAGCAAATGGAAGACAGATACTTATTCATATAAAAAATACATTATCATATATATTTATTAAACAAAAAGTAAAGGTAACAGTTAACTTAAAGCTAAGAAATAGGCGGCTTGCCTCACAGGAAAATAACACATTAGCTTTACAGTTAAGCAATTAGACTATTCTTAAACTAATACAAAATCAGAATTGTACTTTTTCAAATACATTGAGTTAGTACAGAAGAGCTGGATTAATGGTTATTAGTTCCCTTCCTTATTTAGAATGAAAGAATAGCCAGGCCTGGATAATGGAATAGGGCAAAACCAAGAACATTAAAAAGTCACAAAACCTATTTATCAAAATGTTTCTTTCTAAACTATTTCCTATGTCCATGGATTTTATGTTCAGTCTTTTCATTGATTAATATAAATATTATTAGTGTCATATATGGCAGATTCTTGCTGAATAGAATTCTTTGGTATCAAAATGCATCGTCCAAAGCATATTGCACAAATTCCATTCAGTGCGTGAATTAGTATCGGTCAAATATGATATTTATTATTACATTAGATTATCCATTCACCAATCGATGAGTGGATATCATGGGGGAACTAAAATAAAAATAAAATAGAGGGCACAAATTGCCTTGGTACCAACCTCAACTAAAAACGATCTGTGGAGGATTTAGTTGAACAACTTAGAGCAAAAGACAAGAATCGATCTCATTAAGTCAATAAATATAATAAGAGCTCCTAACAATTTAATCAAACTAATAATAAAAAAATTATGATCAGTGAGTTTATAAACATGATTCTCAATAATATGTTACTTTCAGATTTCCATCTACAGCATGATCGATACAATTTTGGCCTATTCACACAAACTGGAATGGCACTTGTGATGTTATACACTAATGTAATTGTAAACAATTAAAAAAATCAATAAGTCTATAATTGCATAAAAGAGTGGGAATTCAAGAGAAAATATAATAAAATTATTAACATAAATGTGAAGAAAAATTACATCCAAAATTAAATTGATAGAGTGACTTCCTACAACTTATATTTGAACAAATATAACCAGATAGAAATAGGTGTATAGAAATAGGAATAAGGACTAAATAACTAAAATTGAAATGATATTTAATAACATGGAAAAAATAGTGCTCTTTATAAATAACACAGAAGTTGCCAACATGTTTACTCAATCATCTTATTCATTACAATGCTTGACCTGTGTTACATCTGGAAGACAGGTCAATTATGATCATTACTATATTTGGAATGCAGGAAACAGCAGATTATGTCTGATACATCAATATTTACATTAGATTAGATTCTATAGAGTTCAATAAGTTCTTATTCCTTGATTCCAAAATGCTTACATTGGTATATTAAGGGTTTGTTAACGCAACAATTAAGAATAACTTTTAGATTAATCACTCTAATTATTCAATATCAAAGTGGTCAACTTAATCAAAATAAATTATTATTTATTGATGTCTAATAAATACATACCTAAAATATAGACTATTATAATTTATTTTCTTTTAAAAGGGAAACAAATGAAGATCTAATAATAAGATTCTGTTATTATTTTTTTCTAATCTCAATAATTTTTTAATTAAGTAAATCATAACTGATTTAACATTCCAGTTGTTGTTTTCAATCTAATTACGTTTAATAAGACAGATTTCAAAGTTTTGAAATTATTATATGAGACCTTAAAATGTACATAGGTCCCTGATTACTTTCAGTTGAAAACAAAAATGATTTATACCTACAAATTCAATGATCGACAAAATAAAAATTAAACACTGTGTATAAACCAGTCAATACTATTTTTTATATTTATAGATTGGTCACATCTGTGCCCATTCTACATTCCCTACACATTTTGATCAATATGTATTTACCTCACGTAAATATAATTATGTATTCTCCAGAAACGACACTTCTAAAATAGTATTTTAATTATTATTGATGAAATGAAATTTTTAGAAAAGTAAAACAAAATAAATATTCTTATTTAAACAATCAATTTCACAAATAAACAACTTTTGATTAAAACATTACTTACTACATTTCATTAAATCAAGATTAAACTCTATCTCCCAATAGGTACAATTCCAAGAAAAAACTACAAGAGTGCAAAGTGATTTTCTCAAAAAATTGATATTTTACACCAAATTAAAAATTGCATAATACAAACCATAACTTCTCCTCGATCCATGGTGCTAGAAAATGCCTGACTTCAATGGGGAAATGTTCCCCATAAACTGCTCGAACTTGTTGCAAGGCTTCACCTTGCAATTGTTGTGCTTTGGCCCAGAGTGACATGGAGCCTAATAACATAAAATATTCACACATATAGTGGGTATTTCTATAATTATTTCAGTAATAAAAGAATCTCACATTGATATAAACAACTGATGTCAACAAACTTGACACACAACCATTAAACACTGAACAAAAACATAACATCAATCTTTGTCATCACTAAACATTGATGATTTTCATTCACAACACTATTAAAAATCATAACAATACTATTATGGACAAACCTCTTCCGAGATTTAGTAGATTTTCTGATTGTGCAAAACTAACAAATATGGACTTGGCAACGTAAACTCTAACAACTTACAACGCACTATGAAGAATAAGAAACCCAAAACTAGAGATAAACCATAACATAAAAATGGCGCATGTGAAACTGCGGAAATGTGTGTAGCAAATATATATATATTTTCGGTGTCATATAGTAATTACATTTTAATGATATTTTTAAATTATAGTCATGTAAAGAAACATTTTTTAATTATTTAACTACATATTTTTATTCAGGTATTAAATATAAAAATGTTAAAACTAATTTAAACAAGATTTTGCAGTTGTTTTTTTTTGCATTTATGAACATATTTTACTATGTTAATTTAAACAATTTTTACTGAAGGAATTTAGCTTTAACCGTATTAATCATAGTTTTGTTACAAACTGTTTTATGATCAATAAAGCACTTGTGCTTTAACCTTTCCAGTACCAGTGTTTTGAGATAGTGCCGGCTCCTGTCAATTGTGACAAGTTTAGTTTAGGTTATTTAGAACATGTGCTCATCTTCGGAAATGATGTTTGATATAATTTCCAATTTAGAAGATTGTTTGTCCAGTGATAAGTTTAACACGTTATGTGATGGTGGTTTGAAGTTTTTTAAAGTTTCTAATAATTATAAAGTGGGTGACTACATATGTTATGCTAGTAACCGTCAATGTGCTCTACCAACATTGCCTGTAAGTATCTTTTAAACTACATTAACGGTATTTTTTGGATAATTGGCCGGTTTAGTTATAACTCGTTTTAATATTTAGGTTTTAGAAATGCAATTATTTGAGATTTTACCCTGGATTAAGGATTTCATTAAGGTCAGTGTTGCACCACATGGATTTGCTCTGTCCTTCTTCAGAAGTGGTTGTTTTCTCAATGGACTAAAAGATGTAGAGATGTTAGGAAGTAAATATGGGTACAATTCTATGTATATAAATAAGGTAATACATTCTCCTGTTATAATATTGAAAAACTTATGCCTTACATGACCTTATGGTTGTATGTTTGTAGTTATTTCCTTTTAGTAAATAACTAAAAATTAGTTTTTAAATTATTTTAAGTATTAAGTTTAATGAGCTGTATCAATATTATAAATGTGCTGAAATAACAATTGTATACTCTACTTGAAAAACTGAATTAATTCAGTCATACAACCCATCAGTGTATTTTATTAATATGACGTTTTATATACCAAAATTCTACAGCGAAGTTTTAATGAATGGAAAAGAAATAGAGTATAGATATATTAAGATTGAGAATAACTAAAATGAGTACAAGATTTTGAAGAGAATTTTTTTTTAACTAAAGCAATGTTATCATTTTGATTCTTGTTTTTTAATTCCACCAGATATTTTTAAAGATATAAACTTAGATCTGTAAACGTTTTTTTTTTCATTTACCAACCAATAAAAAGTCAGGAAGGAAGTTTGTTTTAGTATTACTGTATCTTTGAATAGTTGTTTGACATAGTTAACTTATTCTTTACGTTTACTTTCTAAAAGTTAGTTAATAAGGCTATTAATTTTAATTTAAAACATTGGAGGAATAGTGTTGTATTTTATTTACCCAGTGTTATTACTTTTTGAGTTTATTTGATTTGTTCAGTGCCGTCTTATAATGGGGCACCGGCCGATCTTCATTGGCGCTCGCCACTTGTTTGGAATTATAAAAAATTCAATTCGTATAAAAATAATTAATTAAATCAATAAAGCAACTAAAATAAAATTCAAGTATTATAAAACAGTAAGGAAAAGAAATTTTTTTTAGAGGGGTGGGAGATGACATCTATGCCGGAGGACACCAAATGTCTAAGGCTGGCTCTGGATTAGTTATCACTAAATATTTTATCATTATTATAGTTAACTTATCTCCCAGCAAAGCAAATTATCCCCTAAGTATGTAGTCTAACACTTATATTTAGTTATTTTTCTCTACCTCTTTTTACTTTCACTTACCTAAGTATGAAATATATAGTAATAGTACGTATTACGATTGTGAAAATTTTCGAATCTGAGTTTTCAATGGAAACACATGTTTTGAGGTCTGTCTGTGTGTTAGCAGTCTAGCTCAAAAATGAAAAGTCATAAGAAAGTGAATTTGCATATTTAAGGTTTTTGTATGCCTCAGATGTTACAGCAACTTTTTCCTTAAAATCAGCTAACTGGAAGTGCCACTTCATATCAATGGTAAAACACATTTTTACAATTTTTCTCAAAAACGGCTCTAACGATTTTGATTAAACTCAGTGTATCACGGTATAATTAAATGGTTTTTAATATCATTTAGGTGTTATCCCCATTAATGTCACTTCACAGTGCTTTAATGCCCAATGTACATAAACATCTTCCTCTAAAGTACCTTTAATGTGGGTTATTTAAAAAAATTAACTATCTCTCATTATTAAGAGTTACGAATAAGTTCTAAATATAACTTTTGACACAATTTGATAATTGAATAAAGGAGAAAAAAATAAAAATGCTTATCCAAGTCGAAAACGAATCTCTGAAAATACTAGTCTGAAGGTATACATATAATAATGAAGAGAAGAATAGTTGGGGTGGTCAGTACCTACCTGGTACATATGCCTAATATGTAAAAATAAATATTATCATTTATTTTTGCCTTCTTTTTTGACTGACCACCCCAACTATTCTTCTCTTCATTATTCACGAGTCAACCATTTACCATTATGAATATACATATAATATATCGTTGGAAAGTGTAGAATTTTAGAAAAAAATTATAAATAATAATTATTGAAAACTAATATTATATTTAACATAAATCACATGTTATCAAGAAAATTAAATGAAATTTTCTAACTAAATGTAAACTTTGAATATAGTATAATTTAGTATAATATTTTTGTTTGAAAAAAGTATTTTAAAATCCACCTAATCAAGGCAATGACATTGTTAATTAAACTATTTCAATATACTTGTATGAAAAAAGAAGTGAAATATAAAATCATTTCATGGATGTATAAATCATATGTTTATAACCTAAAATACATTTACTGTAGTTTAATAGTTCTAGATCTGACAATATATTTAAATAATTAGGTATCAACGTGCATTTATTCCGAAAAATCATCACATAACTTTTTAGAAAATTAAATTGGTGAATAATTTGATGAATTTTTCTTTTGTGATATTCAAACCGTATCCACTTACAATTAGAGTGACAACTTTTGTCCTGTCTATCACAAACAATGCAAATCTCTTAATTCCATTTTAGTAAACTTAGCTATGGAAAATAACTTATAGTTGTACAATGCATAATCAACCAGTGGTATAATAAATATTATTTTTGTTACTTTAGTGGTATTTATGATTTATTAGCTGTAAAATTTTAGGTTTAGCTCAATTAAAATGCAATTCAAAAATTTTATAATAGCCCAACATGGCCAGAAAATAATTTCTGTTCAAAGTTGAGCGGTAAGTGAAAGTTATGTGTTGCGCGCACCAAATTTTTTTTTTGAGGTCTAAACGAAATTATTTTAGTACATTGGTCAATTTAAATATCGGTACTTCAGATTAAATTACTTCTCAAAAATAAAACATTCTTAATGCCTAAAAAAAATCCTGTATTGATAATCAAGTTAAATAAAAAATAATCCAAATACCAGCCTCCTCTCTTGGCAATTCTTAAAATTGCCGAAATTTTTCTAGATCAAATTTTCAATTTTTTATGTTAGATTAAAAAGTTTGACATTAAAGTCCTAGAGACAGATTGTGCTATTTTTCAATAAATAAGTTTAAAAAAAAAAAGTTTTTGTTCATCTATCTTTAATGGTTACAGTATTTTTTTTCTTGAACTTTATTTACAATGTACTGGTAAACTTTCTTAGTTTAATTAATTAAAATTAGGGAATTAGTTTTGTTGTTGAACAATTACAGTCATTAAAAAATACTACTACCTGATATAATTTTTTACAATTCAGATGATGATATATAATATTTTATATGCAAATTTGAAATTATCAAGTTTTTTATGTAGAAATGGTTGACTATTGATAGTTTTCATAGAGTAAGTTGGTTGGCATCTGAATTCAAAGTGAAATACTTTTAAAAAATTTCTTTCTGTCTGCAACTCCCAATCAATTTTATTAAAACTATCAAGTTTTTTTTTTTACTGAAGTTGTTAGTGTTTGAATTTTGGGGCTTTTAGGTGTTCGTGTTATCAGTGATAGAAAAAAACCCTGGATCTAACAATCTTATAAATCTTAGGTTGAATGTTACCAATAATTTACTCAAAAATGTTATTTGTGCTTGTGGAGGTAGTTTTGATTCATCTAATAATAAAGTAAATGAAACTATCCATATTAAAATAACCAACAAGAATTTATTACATAAGGATTGTATCAATATTATAGTTGGAACTGTGACTACTGATTCTCCTAGCACCACCTTAGATTCTTATAAGAGGTAGACGCTTAACATACAATTTTTTTTTCTAAGTATCATTGTATCTCAACTTAAATTACTAGTTTCTTTTAAACTTTTCAGTTTAAGAATGACCGACATTATGGCCTTATGTGATAATAAATTAGATGGTGTTAATGTATTAGAGGAAAGAAACAAAATTTTAAATGCTTCAGTACTATTTGATTTATTGCAGTGTAATGTTCAGCGATCAATTGCATTACATCTTAAAGAAAATGACAGCGATAAAAGAACATCTTGTAAAGGTTGAAGAAATAATTACCTTTAATAATTCTTTATTTAAAAAAAATATATTATTCTGAGCCTGACCTTGTAATTTTTAAATTTTATTTTAGGCACTATTTTTGTGTTGTATAATTATGCAAGATTGTTTAGCTTATGTGCTAGGTTTGATGATGAAGTTTTAGCTGGTGTATATCCTGAATTACCAGAGTTGAAAAACATTGATTTCTCTATTTTAGCTTCAGATGTAGGTTTTATTTTAATTTTTATATTAATTATTAAAATATTTTATTCAAATTAATTATTGTAGTAATCTATTTATGTTATTAATTACTAAATTAGGATGAGTGGCAGATCATGTTTGAATCAATTTTAAGTTGGCCATCAGTTGTAAAGAAAAGCATTATTGATATTAAATCAGGCAGGTTAAAATTGCATCTAATTTTGGATTTTTTGAAGAAAATTTCCACGACATTCAGTCAATATTATCATAAAACCCGAGTCTTGACAGTTAGTATCAATTTATTATATTGCTGTTTTTTATTTTCCTTGTTTGTTTATTCATTAGTAAAAATGTTAATTTTCAGGAACCAAGAATCCATTTATTACCAGCTCTATTTGCGAGAATGCGTTTACTTAAATCATTATTGCAAGTTTATCAAAATGCATTTAATTTAATTGATGTTACACCTTTACAAAAAATGTAGTGTAATAAATTCTAGAAAATTCAGAATTAATCAATATGTACATTAGAGGAATTTCAAACATTAATAATTAAAGTGAAATGTATTTTGAAGACAAATTTAAAATAGTCGTTTTATTAAGTCCAGGACCAAGCAGCCTACCTCCACTTCACAGCTGTTTGTTTTGTTTGGTTGCAAGGCATGATATTCACGTGACTCTCCAGGTACTAGGGAGAGATGTCTCCTGAGCTGCTATTGGTTGGCTGGCTGTAGTTAAGGCGCTCACCGCCAATGAGCGAGCTCGAGACTCGATATCAGGGGGCCCAGCTCACTACGCGTTTGACATCAATAAATGCAGCAGTGAATTTCGAGGGCGCGGACGATAGGTGGATTTAGCCCGTTCCTTCGCTTTTAAACAGCCCCCAATCGCGCTCTTAAGTATTATTCGACTGTAGGGAACATGAGTATTGCAGCTCTACTGAAGGCGGCTGAATTCTTGGAAAGAAGAGAAAGAGGTGAGAGTGTTGAGGTTTAGTGTTATTGTGAGAGTAGTTTCCACGTCAACATGGCTGACTCTTGTCATTTCTATGTAGTCAGCTGATTTTTCTAAATCAAAATTCTTTGAATTTTAGAAGCAGAGCATGGATATGCATCTACCCTTCCACCCGATGATCTCAGAGTTATTAAGAGGCCAAAGACTAAAAAATCTCAGGGTAGTAGGTAGGCAAATAAATTATTTATTTTGCTTCTCTTTTTGATATAAAATCAAATCTTTTTAAGAGTTATTATCTAGCAAATTAATTTAACGTAAGTTAAGCTTATTACGATTTTTAATTGTTGGTTATGTTTTCAGGACAACTCATAACGAATTGGAAAAAAATAGGTGAGTTGATCCTAATTGTTTACTTTATTATCATTAGGCGAATTTGTTTTGATTATTAATTCTTAATTGTTAATTAATGTTTTCATGATAGTGGGGAATTGTTTTAATTATTATCTCTCTAATATTGGATTGTTAAAAAACAAGGTCATGTGAAGTATAGGGAAGGTTATTTGGTAGTAGAACTGTACTGTTAAGTGTTAAAAGCTATTTGTGAGCTGTGGGCATGAAACATTGCCAGCTGGCTTTTCAACTTCCATGTAAGAAAACACCTGATTTTGATATATATTTACAAGCCTAATTATATACTTTTATAACTTAATATATATCTATTGATCCCTTAAACTTAAATAAAGTTTATATCCTTCTCATTATGTATTTTTTAAAAATTATGTCACAAAATTGACCTACCAGTTTAGTTGTAATAAACTTTTTATGAATGATACTGGCCTTCTAGTTTTGTGTCTTGTCATATTAAGCCCCTCAAAGATTTATGCTAGTGAAGTCTAATTAAACACCATACAATGAAATATTCTTAGTTCATTCATATAGAATTTGAACTAATAGTTATCTTATTTTCTTTATTAATTATGCAAGAGGGTAATGCCAATTTACTTTCACTTTTTTGACTATTCTATACAATATATCAGTCAGTTTTTATAAATGATTTATTTGTGTTTATACCTTTATAATGAAAATAAATAAAGAAGCATTAACTTTAGTCAATCTGTTATTGATCCTTTTGGGCCATGACAACAGGTAGATAACCCACCAGCTCCCTGGCTTACATGTGACAACAATAGTATTCTCAGTTTGGTTTGGTTATAAAATGCATTGTTTGTTGTTTTGGTTTTCAGAAATCAACCACTGTTCAACTATTGCCAACATTAGTTTTTTTTTTTAGTTTTATTATTTAATTATGTCGTCTTAGAAACTGCTAAACAACAGAATTTTTCCATAATAAGACATTCTTATCAGTGTTGTCAACCAAATTGTTCTCTATTTTTGGAATATTTTAATAGGTAATTTAAATTCTCCATTTGTTTACTTTTTCTTATTTAAGTTATTTCACTTTTAGATTTATTTGTGTAACGATTTTAATAAGTGATGAAGATCAGTGTTTAAAGATAAATGAATTAAGATGATTATATGTTATTTATTTCATTAAAATTAATAGTACTAGAAAGGCATATAGAAAGAAGTTTCATTCTATTTTATTTTTATTTTTTTGAGAAATTTTGTTTAAGGTATATGATATAAATAAATATACAACATTGTTTTCCTCTGTAAGTACCTTCTTTCTTTGCGTTTTTTATTTTTATTTTATTTGTTCAATTTATTTTTCTTGATTTTGTTAAATATTTCGGAAAGATTATTTTAAAAACGGCCCTAACATGGTTTGTCCAAGTCAGCTGGTGCAGTAGTAGTAGTAAAGCCGCCAAGGTTGCCGCAGCAGAGGGGATGCCAGATCTGGCAACAGAGCACAACACATGTTCACTGTTGGGCCTTGTCGTTCTGCCATTGCTCACCATTATTGCCTAGTAATTACCTACCGTAACACAATTATTGACTGTATATGTATTATTTTAAAGAAAATTAATATTTTCTTGAAGAAATGTTTTTGAAGTTGGCCCGCTGCGTCTCTACAGAATCATCTCGCGAACGCTGATGGTTAATGTAAGGTTTTCGTTCCAACAGGTCAAAAAATCCAACTGATTCGTGTGTACTAAAATAGTAGTTTCGTGCTTCAATTTTAACGTTGGACGTTGTCTAGTTAACATTATTTTTATTCTCTCACTGGATTATCGCTTGATCGAAGTAATAGGAAAGTTTTCTACCAGATCATTAAAACATCTCAGGTAGTCGTCAGTGGCCCTAGAAAGGAATCTTAAAGTTTCTGTTAATGTATGTTTAGTTTGAAGTGAGATTTGATTGGCTAATTTCTTGTGAATAGCATTCATTTTTTATCTTATAAAATTTTATATAGTTGAATTTTAAGACACAGATTTGTTACAAGATCGTAGGTAGATCCGTAACCTTCGAAGATATTTATGGAATACGTAAATCTGTAAGCATCCTCCGTAAGATTATTTAGAAATGGACCCAATTATCCCTTTCTTTCTTTGAGGAAATTCTCCGTGTTAATTCGATTATTTTTCGTCATCATATTCCATATCAGTTCCAATTTATTGCATCTCCATAACATTAAATTAATTAAGTACACAATAAAAGTTGACAGCTTTGTTCAAAATTGTTCTTCACCTCATACTTATTAATTCTCAAAACAAATTTAAAATTACTTATCATTGTCAAAGACATTGTAACAAAAGGTTTTTATTTCTTTTTTAAAATGTTTACTTCCTAGTTATAATATCTTAAACTTCTAAGTCTTCTTCAAGGTTGAAAGGATTTGTGACAATTACGCTATCAACTCCTTTAAAGGATCCATTAAATAATGGAGTTTTATTATTAAAGCGATGGTCTATATTATAATATTTTAATTTTTAATAATAGACTAATATCTTAGTTATACCAGAGACTTGTTAACTCATAGTTCGTTGCATTTATATTGCAGAAAGACGTCAACTATGCTAAATTGGCATTGCTAAGTCGTATTGCGGTTTGGTATGTTAGCGCCCTGTTTACCGTGAAATTTCCTTATCTTTGTGAAGGGATTCGGATTTAGTCTTTATACTTGAGGTAATTTCATTTTCCTCGATCATTGTTGTAGTTAGAATCTTCCTCATTATTCAATGGTAGTTAAAGGCTCAAATGTATTCAATTGGCAACCCTTACTCTTGCTCTCAGCGCAAAAGCATCCCAATACTGTTCTAAATTTATGTCTTATGACAATTAAATGGCTTTTCTTGTCATGCCTAAAAATATTTTTCTTCTGGTTTCGCAAATTCATTGTCTAATATTGAATTCAATTTAATTCGCGTAACTAATTAGGAAAACGCTTTTGATTGTATAAAACTATGAATATCTTTAAATAAAAATTTAGCAGATCGTCTAGAAACTCAGAGATTATGTTTTTGCAAAGTGGCTTTCGCAAACAAACATTCTGGCCAAAAGTAGGGCAGCAGGCTTGTTTGTGTACCTTGTCCTGTTTCAAGGCGACTTTTACTCGACGATGAAAGTAATGTATAATGTATTTTAATTCGGGATTATATATGACGAAATTAATGTTTTTTAATACATTATGCTACTAATTTTCTATTTTATTTTAGGCAATTTTTATTATTTACTGAAGTATTCTGTACTGAAATTGATTGAGTTGCAAGTTTTTTCCTCTTCGCGATGTTGTTTCAAATGTTGTATTTTTTATAAAGATGATTAATAATATCGCTTTGTTTTGTCATACATTGTTACTTTCATTGAGATAGTTGGCATCTGCTTTCAGAAACAATTACGTACCTTCATTATTCATTACACTGTCTAAAAGAAAAGGTTTAGTAAAATTTGTTACCCAATAGGGGTTCGCTAGTGAATGGCGTATTATTTTATATTGTTCGCTTTGCTTTAACAGCTTGCTTATTGTCTTCTAGGATTTTATGGGTAAAAGCTCAAATTAGCTATTTTATTTTTCTGTTAGGAGAAAGCATATCGTCAGTGTGTTTCAAAAAGTCACAAAGTTAGTTTTTGTAGAGCTGGACTTTTAGGAGCGTTTTTGTGAATTTCGGCTTTATTGAAAAAAAAAAAAAACAGCACATTAAGTACACTAAATTGTACACACAAATCTTGTTATCAAACGTAGTTAATTACTGTTAGTCAAGGAAACATTTTTTATTTTAATGAAATTGATTCAGTTACAACAGACGCATATTTTTCTGATTAAAGGTTTTGAAATGTCACTTAATTACTTATTGCAATAAACCTGCGATATATTTCAATTTCTTTGAGGGATGAGCAGTTGAATGGAGAATCAAATAAAAGAGTAGATTTCTCTGAAAGAATCGTACTCTCAAGTAATTCACACGAAAGATTAATGAGACACTCGGAATCGATTGATTCATTATTTCATTTATAGGCATTATTAAAAATAAAACTACAAGAGGGAGAAAGAACTATAACATATGTAAATAAAACAATTAGAAAGAAAAATATTGAGTAAATAAGCTAGGGTTATAAATATCTTAAGAGT